GCGGGGCGACGGCGCAATTACCGGGGGGAAGCGGAGGGACCTTCCCCAAAATGCCACCGCCGGGCGGGGAAGTGGGGAGAAAGCTGCTTTTCTTCTTATTTAGTCGATCTCTTAAACACAGCCAGAAAAGAACATTAAAGGCATTTCTAGATTTCGTTTCGGTTTCGGTTTTTTTTTTTTTTTTTGGTTTTTTTTTTTCCCATGCTCTTAATTTTGAAAAAAAAAAAAAATTCACAAAACATAACTTATAAAACAATATATATACCGCATCCTTATCCACAACAGCATAATTGAAACATCCAGCGTAACGTTTACCACAGGTGTGAAATACACTGGGAAAGAAGTACCGTGTGCATTTTATATTATGTTTCTTTGTCATCTACAGGTAATAAGTATCGACAAAAATAAGCAACAAATATGCCTGCAATTAAACTTCATATGCGTTTTGTATGCGTATTAATAAAGATATTTATCATTTCCATGTTTTTTGTTGGTTTTTTTTTTTTTTCCAACAAGCACTTGTTAAAGTATCTACATTTACATAATAACACCTTAAGATAATAACACCTTAAGATCGGGGTTTTTTTTTTTTGGTTCCTTGTTTTTCCTTCACAGTTAGAAAAGCAAGGAACGCTTTCAGCTTTGCTAAGCAACCTTTCCGGACGCCGAGGCTCACTGTTTCTCTAGCAGAGATGCAGTATCTGGATTCACTTCATAACAGAAGATTTTTCGTCTTTTTTTGTTGTTTAGACTCTCTGAAAGGGGGTTGGTATTTTTGTTTGGTTGGTTTTGGTTTGTTTTTTTTTTTTTTTTTAAGAGATAAAAACACCCCCTGCATTTAAATAAAGATGAATGATAATTTAATTATCAGGATAAGACTTTGGATGGGGAGAATGCTGAACAGTTTTCGCATCGCTGGAGGGTTTCTGTGCTCTCGCACAACCGGGGATACTGCAGTCTTTTGGAAAGGATGAAGAGGTAGGAACCTTGAGCTGCTTAGTATCAGGAATGACTGGATTATAGCTTCCAACTAAAGAAAAAACATCAAGAAACATGCATTTTAAAAACAGTTTATTCAACGGCCAAGGACAATGATCCGGCACAATGCAACGGTAGATATAAATATAACCTTATATAAGTGGTTGACCCTTGTCATTATTATTTTTAATAGTTTCATACCTAATATTTTAACCATTTTTTCCCGCAGAATCTACTCTGCGAATTATTTTTTTTTTTCTCCCCCCCCCCTTTTTTTTTTTTTTTTTTTTTCGAGTGTGATTCTGTTTCTCAGTGGTAAACATTAACCAAACTCTTCCCGTGCGACAAGCGGCCAAGAACCGTCCCACCAGCTCTTACCACCGAGGCGTCTCCCTCCCTCGCCGCCCTCCCCGCGGGGAAGCGGCCGCCTTACCAACTCCTGTGCAAGTTCAAGTAAACACATACAACCCGCATAATCCAGAGAAAAATTGCAACTCATCCATGTACCAGATTTCGGTGTCTCTTGCAAAAGTTTTCTGGTCCGTTTACGGTTTTTGATGGTTTGTTTTTAAATTTTTTTTAAGCGCTGTTTTGTTGGTTGCGTCGTTGGTTTGCATTAATATTTTTTTTTTTTTCTAGACAGTCGAAGTCCGCGGAGCTTTTGGGGCTTTATTGTTGGTGTTTTGTTTGGGTTTGTTTTTTAAATTTTTTTTTCCTCTCTCACTTGCTCGGGTTTCGCTTTTAATCATCGTCGGGTTTTAATAATTTTTTTTTTAATTTTTTTTTTTTTTTCCTTTTCCGTTAAACGTCGCTTTGCTTCTGCTTTGCTTTGTCGGCGGTGTTTTGTCGGAGGTGGTTTGTGTCAAGTCCGTCAACTGTTGTATTGACAGGCGTTTAGACTAGAGCCGGGGCTTTGCAAACTGCTGTAGCCGAAACTGGAGTGCTGCTTTGATTTCAGTCTGAGGCTGGCGCAGCCTGGG